CTTCCGGGGGAGTGGATCCATCCAATCCATCCAGAGACAATGGCATTTTGTTCCTCTTTTTGTCCCTCCTGTCGACCCGCATTCCTTTATCGCTGAGCAACAACAGCGCGCGCTAAATGGAGAGGAGTTCCTCCCATATCCACACTTTTGTTCGGCACTTGCCCAGGGAACTTGCGCACATCGCATTTACCTGATTTATTTAGGTATTGCTAAATGGTTGAAGCCCTTTATTTGCCATATAATTGGGATTTAACGAGCGCTTTGTTTGAATTAAAAGGTCATTATGTTACTGTAAATCACTAACAGTTGTAACAGATGGATCTGGACGCTTCAATTCTTGATTCCTGATTGAATTCTGAAAACAAAACTTTACTTTTAGACTTTATTTCATGCCTGCATGCAACGCAGGACACACAAAAAAACATTTAGTTCTGTTGATCTGTTATTTTATTGCATTTCCTAAAATTTTCCCCCATAAAACATTTGTGATTTCTTGAGATTAAACTCAACAATTAAAGTACAGAAGGTGTCAAAGTCATTTCCATAGGGGGTCAAAATTTAAATCTTTTTCTGCTTGAGGGTCATTTTTTTAATTTGACATGGTTTTTCAGATGATCTATTTTCAGATTTTTCAGTTTGGGTTCTGGAAACTCTCAGGAATGATTTGAATTGTTTTTAAAGCAACATTAGTTCACAGTGGAGATATCTTAATCTGTAATCTACACGGTGGAATTTCCCACTCCACTTGTAATAATTTTGAAATCCAAGCTGTGCAAAAAAATACCGATACTTGCGTGCAAGTACAAGTACTTTAAAAATACTTAATAATAAATAAATAAGTACAAGTATATTAAAAATTACTTTGGTCAGTCTCCTTGAAGAATATCACTGAGTATAAGTCTATCGGATATTTTTGTACTTAGGTATCAAAGGTAAATTTCTGATAAATAATGCACTCCAAGACATTTGTTGGGAGGTGACCTTTCCCTAAATAAATAAATAAATAAATAAATAAATAAATAAATAAATAAATAAATAAAAAACATTACATTTCGTACTATGTGACATGATTTGTGTCACGTGCAGCATAATTTAGTGGATAAACAGCCGGAATTAGAACAAGCCAAAATGTACCAGGACTACTGCATTTCTACTTTCTTTGATTTTTTTTAAATGTAAGGAATAGAAGTAAAAAGTTGGCTGAAAAAAATAATTACTCAAGTATAGGTAACCAAAATTTCTACTTAAATACAGTAACAAAGTATTTGTACTAATAGTTACTTTACAACTCTGAATACAAGAGAGGTTTTGTGTGAACTCTGAACATGTGAGTTAGGATGAAGTTCTGTGTAAGTGCTTACTTACTGTCAGTATCTTACAAAATGATATGACACAATCCACAATAGAGTGGCTATATATATATAT